AATGACTTTCAGGGAATTCAATTCTTGCCAATGCGGAGAGTCAGAGTGACTTTCAGGAAATTCAGTGCAGAAAGTTTGTTATTTCTTATTATTACCTAAGTCATTATAAAATGTCCACCTAACAAATTCAATTGCAGATAAAAGCAAATTCATGTAGAGTATTTTTTCATGTAATTACATGCTCCCACTCTATAAAGGGTCATTTTTCAATGCACACTTCCTTTTTTACTTCCTTTTCTTTCTTTTCTCATTTCAAATTATGACACACAAACAGGAACTCATTATAGCGGTGTTGTGCAGTATAATTTTCTCCATGAGCCTTTGGGACAATATCTGGGGCCAGTCATTCATTCAAAGAAAGTAGCGGTATTCAATCTTTCTGCAAAAAACGTACAAACCCTGAGCTGAGATATAATGCATACAATACTCTGAAAGCTGATTGATTATGATGCAATGCAATTATTTTGGCTGCCAAATTTGAATCGTATCAGTATGTTACAGATGCAGAGAATTTCTCTTATCTTTGGATCATTGCTATGGATATCAGTCTGTTGCTATGGTGATTTTGAAATCATCATCAGCTGCACAGTTTTTCCTTTCATGAGATGAATTGGATAATGAAGTAGGCCATGTTTATTTAAAAGACAATTTATTTTTAAGTTCCAACTGAAGGCAATTAAGGCATTCCCAAATTACTACTCATCACAATAATTATTATAGAAGTGATAAATAAAACCACCTCATTATCTTGTTGGAATGAACTACTTTGTTTGTCAGTTAACATTTTGTGTGTTTTGTGCCCCAAAATGAGAGTCCTTTTCAAATACTGAAGGAATTTAGTGTTAACACATGGCCAGCTGAATGTCTCCATGTTTAGCCGAATTTAATGGGTAAAATAGGGCACTAGCAGATGTGCTGTATTTATTAACTCAATCCATGTTAGCTTTTTTACAGCAGTCTTGAGTTGTGAGTGTGACCTTTTGATTTGTGTTGATTTTTTAATTCTATTAACTGCTCAAACACAAGAAAGAGCAGGTCATCAGCCACTTATAGCTGAAACTAGGAATGTGGATTTTTCTGAAAAAAAGTACATGTGGATTACCTTGACCGCTGTGCTCTCAGTCAAATTGAATATTTGATCAAAAAGGAGATATTTAGAACAAAAGAGGCTGTCAAGCATTTTGATTGAACGATGAGATTATGAGTACCAATACTATCATGTGTGTAAAAATAAAAATCAGTATCTCACATCAACTGTCAATCAAAACAAGACCATGTGTTCAAGGTCTTCAGTCAGAGGTAAACATAAGAAAGCCAAAACCAGTTGTTTTTGATTACAGACTGGATTCTTACATAAAATGGGCAAAGATCATAATTATACACTATAGTAAATATTTAAATAATAAAGCAAGTAGATTTGTCTAGTTTGTAAGAGTATGTGGATTTATGGTATAAATATAACAAATGCTGAATTATAAAATAATTTGAGGGAATTTTTTGAGAAAGACAGATCTTCGCAATTTTTGGCAAATGTCATGAGTCAGTGAATATTGTAGAAGTTTTACAGCAGTGCACATTTCACTGAAACAGCAGACAAAGTGAATTTCATAAAATTGTTAGTATCAGAAAATCTAACGGCTACAATTTAATTGTTCACAGTCTGTACAATAAATGCACATGATATTTACAGACGTTACAGATAATACTTAATACATATTTAACCCAATATAGTAACTTGATTAACTTGCCAATTCAGATTGTAGTTGTAGCATCTGGAAGTGGCTAGAGTGGAGAGATGAGCATATGTTGTCTTGGCAACAACAGGAGGAAAGTAGATGAAGCAAACATTTTTCTTCTTGTTGTAACTTGAATGAGAAAGCTTGAAACCAATTACGTGTGTTATTTTCTTACATCTTCAGTAGTACAGATTTCATAAAAATTCTTTGTTAAAAGAAATCAAGATGCTTGTTGTCAAGACACTTTTCTCTAAGAGAGTGTTCTCTAACTAAATATGTTGAGTGTTAGAAAGGAAAGCCAAATTTATACTAACATTCTGCCTAACATAAACCATTTATAATCTTTTAATAACAAATAGCAAAAAGTGATAATTTATAAAATTAATTTTAAATAACCTATTAAAAGATTATATATATATATATATATATATAAATGAATAAAAAATTGAGATCTTTTATGTGAATAGATTTTTACTATCATTTATCTTTGATGAAATATTTTTATCTATTTATTTGGCTGATGGGAAATTGTATATTTGGTCTAAAATAAAGAAAATATAGAAAATACAAACACATTTGCAATTAATGTCGCACTAAAATATTGGCAGGAACAATTTTTAAAAAAGTTAATGACTTTATATTCAGGTTAACATTTTGTCAGCTACAAGAATATACTGAACTGTAATTTCATGATATTGTAACAAATATTACACATCAAAATCTGTTAACGAGATATACATTAAAGTCTTTGCATGAATTTTATGAAAAGCTGCAATTTATTTCTTTTAAACTCAAAGTATATTAGTGTTTTTAGACACAGTAGGGGTTAAGCCTGTTGTGACCTTAATTCAAAATGGTGTGTCATAATGTATAATAGCGTACCATATTATTTCCAAATTTAGAAACAGTCATCATTATTTTTTTTTCTACCTGGAAATCAATTCCCAAAAGTGTTGTTGGAGGTCAGGAAAGTCCATAATCAAATTGAATAGTTCAGAATGATTTGATGATTAATTTTTCTGAAATCAAATAAGAAATTATAATAATGTTATTTACAAAATTCACCTAATTTTTTGGACGCTCAAAGGATTTAACAGAAAATGTAAAAAACAAATTGAGATGACAATTTCAGAAATACAAGTTTTAATCAGACAGATTATAGAAGTTTATTTTCATGGTACAATACAAGTAAGGAATGAATTGAATTGATAAATATTACACATTTGTGATTTGAAACTATCTCATTCCACACGTTATTGTCTTGTACATTCATGAATCACAGTGTGGCTAAATCTGACATTCTGTATATATTGCTGGAAGGTTGTACAATGTACACCTAGCATGATGTCACCTGTACAACATATTTCATCAATACATGCTCACTTTATCATAGCAGACTCACTTCAGCATTTTCCAAGCTGCTCTCAGCTGCTCTCAAATCATTCCTCTACCACTCCAATCTAAATAATTTTCTAGCCTCTTTGCTCTGGGGCGAATAAATTAAATAAAAAAAACTATATGGAAATTAAATGCATTTCTTCAAAGCAAAAAAGTTGTTAGTCATTGTGTTTTGGCAGGGACATGTTAATTATCATAACACATTAGTTTATAAATATTGGGAAATACATACAACTACAAATATGTATCTGTATCTTTACAGTGTGTGGTAATGGTGAATGTGAGGATGACAGAGGAGAGGATTGCCAGGTCTGCCCCAAGGACTGTGGAATATGCCCCCTTGAGACGGTTGAGATTGTTGGCATTGTCATCGCATGTTTGTTTATCATATGCACATTTATTGCAATTATTTTGGTAAGTATGCATATTAGTTTGGGTTTAACAAGGTGATTGGGAATTGCAATGCACATAACTGATATTGAAAATAATAATAATATGATTAGCCGATTTAAAATGTAATAACATGAATGTTAGGTCAGTACATTCTATGCTTTATTAGAAATGCATGTGTGCTCATGTAAGAGCTTTGTTAAAATTGTTCACTAATTAGACAACATGTTCTTTGCACTTCTATTGGAGTTATGTAGCAACACAAAGTACTGTCAGTTGTACAAAGTTTACCACATGCAATTTCCAAAACTAACCACTAGGTGGCGCTATGTGCCTCTTGACTGATGTTCCTATCAGGTACTAGTATTACAGGCAATTTCACTTCATGGCTGTATCCCTTATAGATGAGTTTCAAGCTCTATGCCAAATTTAATTCCCCTGTGAAATGTGGCTTTATTTATAACCATAAAAAATGCAAATCAAAGCTACATTTACACACTATCATGTTCTATAAATTGCTGTCAGATATCTAGATATATACATAGTTGAAAATAACCACTTCAGATAGAAGGTGAAAATGCTTATTTGTCTTGTTATCCAGAATGCTACCCAGATTTGATCATATACCTCCTCCTTCGACTGTCTTTGAGTGATTTAACCATCTGACATCTTTCCTCTTTCTTCACACATTATCTTCCTTCCTTTCTACAAAGATTCATCATATGGTAAGACTCCACATCTAACCACTTACCTTGCTATCACTAGGGACATACCATTATGTTTGAAGGGGACACTATTCTGCTAAACTAGATAATTATGCCATCTGGATTGTACATTCAATGATGTAGGAATGAAAAAAGATTTTATAAACAAGGAAAATCTTCATCCCTCTCCTGGTACAAAATGGTCTGTCCCTGACTGTAATTTCACTGCACTTGTATCACTTACTAGCACATCCTCCTCACCATTGTATCTTTCTGAACATATCTCTCCTCATTCTCCAACTTAATCAAAATGAAGAAGTAAACATTTTAGACCAATAGGATGAGTTGTTCTGGAAAAAAATGTTTTATGCTTGTTTTTTGGTAAATTCAATGTGAAGGCCTGACTGCTAAAGTTTATGTTCTTGAAGTTGGTAGCACATATTACAAAGTTGTAAAAACAATAAATTGGTATCAACTAGACCCATAGAAGTATGAGAAATATAACATTTCTTAACACCAGTATGGCCTACAACTATGTGACAGATCAAAATATTGAAAGTTAGGTATACCATTTTACATTATTCCATGTTGGTATAAGCATACCAAGTTTGAGATGACTCTGTTCAGCAGTGTTCTGAAAAAAAATGATAAGAGGAATATAAGCAATAACAAGACATTTATTAAGCAGGGTTCCAAGCAGGGACATACTGTAAGCTACAATCCAAACTGCGTTCCAAGCCAGGCAACAAGTCAGGTACTAAGCTACCGGGGTAGTTTCCTAAATGGATTCCCTTCAGGTTGCCAAGCAGTTTTCCAAGTCTGGCTCTTATAATGTTTCATGACAACGGCATTCTTTTAATTTTTTTTTTATTACTTTTACAGTATTTTTATATCAAACAACAGAAAATGCTATGGGATGAAAGCTGGGTTATTCCATATGAAGACATACATCCAGGTAAACTCTCAAATCAATTTTTTAAGACTTTAGCAGTTACAAGTGGGAAATTGAGTGTTTATGCATATTTTTGACTCCCATGTGCGAAGCACATAATGGGAGTCTTTGCAGTTAGTGTGTCTGTGTGTGTGTATGTATGTGTGTCCGACTGTTCCACTGCTATCTCAAGAACCATACATCGGTTTTTGATGAGACTTGGTGGATAGATGCTCTGGGCCAATGCGCAGATTTGATTAGGTTTTGGTAAAAATCCATGCTCGTTAATTACCTAATTTGCATGATAATTAGCTATTTTTTAGCTGTTCTATGACTGTTCCACTGATATCTAAAGAACCACTCATTGGATTTTGATGAAACTTGGTACATAGATGCTCTGAACATTTGATTAGTTTTTGGTAAAAATCCGTGCATATTAATTACCTAATTTGCATGATAATTAGCTGATTTTTAGCTGTTCCATGATTGTTCCACTGATATCTAAACAACCACTCATTGGATTTTGATGAAACTTGGTACATAGATGCTCTGAACATATGCGCAGATTTGATTAGTTTTTGGTAAAAATCCGTGCATATTAATTACCTAATTTGCATGATAATTAGCTGATTTTTAGCTGTTCCATGATTGTTCCACTGATATCTAAACAACCACTCATTGGATTTTGATGAAACTTTGTACATACATGCTCTGAACTAATGCTAGGTTTTGATTAGTTTTTGGTAATAATCCGTGGATACTAATTACCTAATTTGCATAATGATTAGTCAATTTTCAGG